ATTTCCAATGACGAAAGCCATGCATAACTCTCAGGCGAGTGGTTTTTAAGAAGCACCTTTCAAATGAGAATCGGTTAACTAAACATTATAATTAGTGCTCTAATCAACACCACAAACAGTCAGTGCCTGAATGTTTGGAAGAAGAATTTCTTTGAATGAATCTTTCATTCTCCTTATTATTATTAATGCTACTAGAACTTCAAGAAGTTTTACTTGTTTAGGTATTGGGAATAAAAACTATTCCCATTAGGTATTTTTCACATATTTTTCAGGCTTAGTACGTCTGTTAATCAGCTGAATGCGAAGATTTTAATTGTGGTTTATCGCTAAACATTTTTCATTTATGTTCATTTTTTGCAAGCTTTTTCATTTCGGGTTAATATTTTTAACGAAATAGAACGCTGATTAAATTGATATAAAAGTTAATTGTTATTGTAAAGATTTGCATATTATACGTCACATCAATAAACAATTTTCTATTCTTTATTAACATACAATGTAAGTGCGTACCTGTGCATGCAACGTATAGTAATCATAGGAATTAAAAAACTTTTTTGTTGATTTGATTCCAATTCTCAAACATATTCCAAGATGGCTTTAACCTATTCAATCTATTCATGTTTTGGGCAATTGTGATAAACAACAAAGTTTTTAGACTTGTTATCCTCAAAATAAACGTTGGTAAAGCAAATAAAGTAAATAACAATATTTCACTCTATATTGTTTCGCATGAACAGTATTCTAAAAATGAATAATAGTTATACTCCCACTTGTGGTACTAGAGTATATTAAGTTAGCATGTATTATGCCGATCCATTCAGAATAACTTTCTGCTTTCTTGTATTCAACTTGCTGGTGACATATTTTTGAAATATTTTGATGAAATTTCTACTCAAAATGGTTCGAATCGTACCATTCTTTTGACCAGTCCGCATATAAGGCCTTACTTTGAAAAATAATTGTATCAATAACTGTATTTAACGAATTGGTGTAATGTTCATAATGGGGGCCCGAGTCCCGCTTTTCATGAATGCTTTCCTAAGAAAGTATTTAAAAAACCAGAAAAGTATATTGTACGACCAGAAAGTATATTGTACGACCAGAAAGCATATTGTACCTATCGGTGGTTAAAGTGTGCTCATTTGTTCTTGAATTAAATACTATCACCGATTAATTTTACTTCATCTTTTTCTCATTATTCGTTACTATTATAAACAAACGTTCGCGTAAATTCAACATGTCAATGGTTGCGTCTGTCACATGTTCAATTGTAGGAAAATAAAAGCAAGGTCTTTGAAATCAAAATTTCGTTTTAAGCGTAGAAGTTATTAGAAATGATTAAAACTGATGGTAAGAGATTGAAATCGTAATGAATGATTATGGATGGCTCTCGCGATTGGTTTTGACTATTAGCATTGAAATGTTCGAATAATTCGATAAGGAATACCAACGTTTGAGCTGATGAGGACGATGTCCCAGATAATTGCTAACATTGCATCGCACGACTGGAACGTGGTTCTGCAACATAGAAATTAAGTGTGATTACCACAAAGGAACTGACTCCATTTGAATCTAGAAAATCAGCTACGCGGAAATTTCGCTAAGTAACAGCTCCGATTGTACAGGCTTAGTAGTACTAATTTTTCACTATATTTGCCTTCTATACATATCTAAATTTTCCTCCCTTCATAGATACAGAAGATGGCAAACTTTCAACTGAATTCAGTATGCTTCGTGTTCTTTTCTATTTTTCTTTCTTTGTCAATCTCTTTGGCAAAGTTTAATACAACTGTTTTCTATATTTTTTTTTTATACAAATAAAAGAAATGAACTGTATATGTGGCAAATATTTTATTCATCTAAGATCAGAAAATGTAGACTTAATCGCTAACAAGATGCAAGATATATAAGTATTTATGTACACTTACATTTAATATGTTCTTGTAATTTAAAGCAGGTTGTGATGGCTCCGGCAATACCTGAGAGATGGTTAGATTACACTCCTATTGGAAGACAAATTGAGGGAACACGATTTATAGCCTTTAAGGTTCCACTAAAGCAGCATCTAAATAAATCTATGTTGCGACACCAACGTCTCGATATTAACACTTTGTTTGAAAGGATACCGAAGTTGGGAATAATTATTGATTTGACAAATACCAACCGATATTACAACCCTCATCACATATGCAAGGATGGTATTGATTATAAAAAGATTTGCACCCCTGGTCATATAACTCCCTCATATTGTTTAGTAAAAGAGTTTAGAGATTGCGTAAAGGCTTTTCTTTTTAAAAATTCTGCAAATGATAAATTAATTGGCGTCCATTGTACCCATGGTGTTAACAGGACTGGCTACTTTATATGCAGTTACATGATTTCGGAGTTAGCTATAGAACCTGCAGAAGCTATTCAAAGATTTGTTGCAGCTCGAGGACATGAAATCGAACGTTCCAATTACTTGAATGCCTTAAATCGATTGAAGCAGAGTAATTTAACGCGGAAAATTATTTACACGGGAAATAATCAAAATAAATTGAATACTGTCTGTAATTTCAAATGTACAAGAGGAAATGGACATTATCGTAAGAGCAATTATTATTCTTCAAATAATACATCTAAAGGAGGATTTTATAACCACAATTTTTACAGTCAAAATAAACATAGCTTACCTATTTTAAGAAACGATGACAACAGATGCCGTTTGCGTGCTGACTATTATGGTGATAATTCTCATGCAGAGTTTTAATGCACTTATGTGCTAAATACATTTAAGTTAAATTAAAAAGTTTTTTATTTACCATAGGACGTGCAATTAGTAATAAAACGTCCGAAAAAAATAAATAAAATTTTTAGCTAATTACGACGAAGAAGAAAAAAACGGGGTTTCAGTTTGAAGTTAAGATTTCGGTTCAAAAATTTTATTTTACAGATTAGTTCACATCAGCAGTTCGCATTCTTTGATCGCATTTAAGGTCTTTCCGCATTTGAGCGAAAATAGCCCTTTTTCATGAAATTAGAACCTGCTGACCTGTGTTCACATATTACGCCTATAAATATATATGATATGATTTGAGGGCAAATTTCTGTACTTGATATCCGAGGGAAGCAGAATTACGGAGCTTGAACTCAGGAAGGTACAGCAAGGCAGCGCGAGAGAAGTTCATCAGTTTTTATTTAGAGCCTTCAACAATATACTCGCCGAAAGTACTGAAGAAGCTGTTTGCCGAGAACTGTAAGTATTCATTATCTCGACTAACAACTCAATCATGGGTTCAAATTTCAGTGTACAGTAAATTTTTCTATAAAAGCGATATCAGTGCTTTAAGAGTTTAGTCTCAGAATTTATTTCTTAGTTTAAGCAAAAAAAGAAGAAAATCCATCAATAGGTAAGCGGAAAATTATGCAGTTGGTATCAGCAGAATTTAAAATGTAATCATTTCATGTTGCAGAACTGCAATTTGTCTTTCGAAGCGGTTAGCAAAACTATGTACATTCTCAGGGGTGCCCTTGTTAACGCGTCTTTCTATTTTGCTGCCTTGTTGAGGAGTAAGTCGTTTCACAATCATTTAATTGAATGTCTCACAAACCATCCAAGTTTTGGTAGATAAGGCGTAGGAAAGCAGAAGCGTCACTCAAATTGGGAGACAATGATGTAGCTGCTGTGCAAACACCTTAACTCTTGTTCTCTTCAATCTCTCCCTTTCTCTGCTAAACTAGATAAGTAAATAATCTATCTTCGAATTCTGGCAAATTAAAGGAGAAGTGATTGAGCGCACTTACAACAGCAAATAAAGCTACCCGAGGAAAATGTCTAGCTGACATCTTCAGCGTCTGATTATTTTCAGATAGAATGGAATTTTCAGATAAAAGGAAAGAGTGTAAAAGAATTAAATTTTCATGCTCTGTAATATGGAATGGGTGCGGTTGATTTTTTCCATTTCATAAATAAAAGCCGTGGCACTAGTCTGTGAGCGTTGTAGGCGTGTCACTTGGAAAGTTTAGATCACATCAAAAACCCTTGCAAATTTGTAGGCGATATCTTCATTTTCGGTAATGACAGAATGTTTACTACAGATACTGCACGATTCGGCAGACGGAAACGTGAACGGGCGGACATTGTTAGTTGCATTCTATATTTGAAATTGGCCAAGAAATGATATACTTTATGGAATATTTAAAGGTTGTTTGTTGTTTTTGCGCGTTGAGAAGGTACTGAAAAGAAAATTAAACTTTAATACTCTGTAATAATCGGTAGACGTTGCCAAGCATCCCATTTTTGTACAGCATTGCTCTTAGAATATGACTTCAAATTTTTGTATAATTACTTGCTCTAATTCTTTAAGTAACAAGGAAAGCACCCACTTTTTATTGCTTTTGAAAAACAGAGGTGAAAAGACAAACCAGAAAAAATTTTCAGCTGTTATTTGCCAATTATATGACGTTTTGTTTCGAGCATTGATTGTGAATGAAAAGGATTTCACCTGTTGACAGAGACTTCTTAATAGGCTTGGTGAGCGATGACGAATGTGAAAGTCCTTATAAAATGCGACGAAACAAAGTGACAGTTCCTATTAATTTATTTTGGGAACTATACCATAACATTCAATGTTCAATTTGCAATTGATTGGTTTCAAAATATTAGATCGAAAGAACGCTAAATTAGAGTTTTTCAAAAAACTTCCGAAAATTCCACAGCTTTAGCTTCACTTTATCTCATGCAGTCTCATCATGTAAACTTCTGTCGTTAGGTGAACCATCTCAAAAAAATGATCAAGAATTTATGCTTATATCATTGCACTCTTAGTATTGGAAAAGTTCATGGAAGTGACTAGAAATATATTTGAGATCTACAGCATTGGCAATATTTCAACAAACACGTGGCATGAAAACTAGAAATTTTTAAATGCCTTAATAATAGCATTCGAAGATAATCTTCAAACATTTTACTCGCATCACATTGTAGTTATCCGTCAACTGTTCTTGATTTACTTTAATTACAGTCGCTTTTGCCGCATCCTTATATGCCGCCTAGCCATATACAATCCGAATAAATAAAGCGGATCACTCGGTGAACCATCCACTTTGCCTAGAAGAGACTCTGCCAAATTTTCATTGTTGGACATGGCAACGCAGTCAATTGCCGTCGATAAAGCCTGTGACTCTTCGTTATTAAAAGCACTTGCCTTCAATAAAAATCTCAAAGGTTTCGTAAACTCTCTGGCCAAGAAATAATAATATTTGACTAACAGCAAAGTATACATTTCACTTTCAAAATATTGAGCCAATGCTAGATAATCACTTGATTTGGCATTTTGGTAACGTTCTAACAGTTTGCCATGAAGTTTTAATTTGTTATGGCGTTGAGCCAGATCGAAGGCTGCAGTAGCGGCATTATCCACCGAATAAACTTATTTGGATACGTGTTGTTCATACTGCTGACTGGGAAATTTGAGAGAGACCATAAACATCAACTAAGGTAAATATTGTGAAGACCCAAAGTCGTCCCTCGTTTTAGCCTCACGGGTTCTCCGTCTTTGGTGGGGATATTTTCATTTTTACGAACGAGAGAATGTTGAGTAAATGGACAGATGGACATGCTTATGTGCATTCTGAAGTTGAAAATGGCTATGCATTGATATATTATTTATGGGGTTTTTAAAGCTTGCCTCTTTGCATTTTAAAGATATTAAAAAAAATTACATATTTATACACTATGTATAGTATTGTGTAAGCGTTGCGAGTTGTTTCCATTTTACTACAGCATCGACCAAAGTATATACGTTCAAATTTTTGTATATTTATCCGCTATAGTTAATGAGTAATGAGCAAAAGCCAATTTTTTTTTCGTTTTGAAAAACCGAGGTGTTCTCAGTTTACGTGGCACTGCGTGTTCTTCGACGGGTTTATCCCATTATCTAAACCAACCTTCGTGTAAGAGCTTGCAAAGTCTCTCGTGGCATCTCTGATGCTTTCTTCTGAGCCTTGCAAACTTTTTGATAAATGAGCATACCATTTATGGTTCGGCTGTGCATATAAAAACCATATGGAGGCTTTTATGAAATTTAAGCTGACAAAGCTACTGTAAGGACAGAAGGAGAGAGAGAGAGAACATCATTATGGTTGGAGAAAACAATAATACTTCTCTTTAATTAGTGACCTTTAGCCACGCTATGGTCACCAAGTTCCGCTTTCTCGACGTCGACTCTGCATTATTAATATCTATCATCTTAAATTTAGAATTTAAAACAAAATGGTTGCCGAAAGTATTTATGGAATTCAACAATTATTTACTAGAATTCTTAGGGGTATAAGAATTGTGAATATGGTAATGCGTTCGTTGCTGCTGTAAACAAAATGCACTTGCTTTCGCGTCTCTCTACTTCGCAACATTGTTCAAGAGTAAGTAGTAGATGACATGAAAGTAAAAAAAAATGGAGTCTATTAAATTGGAAGACAATAATGTAGCTGCTTTGATGACCATCATAGACTACATTTATAGCGAGGAAATAATATTCACTTTGATATCGCATCAAAGATTTGTTTCCAGATGCAAAAATTTGCGAGTAAGAAAAAGTATGAGCTTCTATTGGCATGTTCAGCACATATATGTTTATTTCTTTCCTTCCAGATAAACTACAAAGAAAAAGTTCAAAGAATTTCATGAATGCAACCACAACTTCATTTTAGAAAATTTTGATTAATTGATCAATAATGAAGAGCCGTTACGACTCCTTTCCGAAGAAGCAAGTAAACAACTGAAGGCTTAAAACAAAAGATAGGAACTCCAATTTAATTTCATATTAAAGTTATGTTAGGGCAGCTGCGGGTCATGCACAAGGGAAGTGAAGCGTCAAAGTAGAATGAATGAAGATTTTGATAGTGGTTTCCATATCCGCAGTTGGGTTACATTTTCAGTCTGCCGTCCATGTCTGTGCCCATTTATCAGTTCTTCGAAATCCTCATCAGGATTCAAAGGTGCTATAAACGCGTTCTAGTATTTTCTCTGTTTACTATTACTGAACAATAGTTATTTATGGAATAAAAGTTTCCCTTTACGAAATAACTTTCCAAATACTTCGACCGCATTAAAGTAAGTCTTGGCTATTTTCGCCCCTATAAGGTGAAAACCATTATGTTCGAAATTATCTTTGTCAAAAGATTTTGTAATATCTTCCACTAGCTTATAAGTAAGTACTTTTTCTATGTTTTATTGCGATCTGCAATGCGAAATTTGACATAAGATGGTATAATTTCCTTATGAAAAAAAATTGAATAATTTCCTTATGAAAATTAAATTGCTTACCAAATATTTCGAAGAAAACCCCATCACGTGAAATCTCTTCTTTTATTGTCTAGATTATTACTTTACTTTCCATAAATCGTTTTTGCTCTGTTTACTGATTTGCATTGTATAAGGGGACAGACTTGGGGAACAAAGGGAACAAAAAAGGGAACAAATTTGTCATGAGTCTATTTTATACAAACTTTTTTTTTGGTTTTTCAAAATGGAAAGACAACACATGTAATTTGTCATGAATTGGATCAAACACCATCTTGAGCATTTAAGACCGCGTATTGCAGATTTAACAAGATACGCATATTGAATGAATTCTTGAGAGATTACTGGACTTCTGAACTTCTTCGTCAAAGTGATCCGCAATGTAAACACTCCACAATTCAACTCCTTATTTACGATTTAATACCAGTGAGCTTTTGGGTTTACGAACAAAAATATTATTACAAATCGAAACGCTGCGAAGTTTATGATTTAACCAACAGTAAAATATCTCCTATCTCAGATCCTAGATCTGTAAATTCCGTAATCTCTTTAAACGTTTCTGTGTATTCAATAGGAGAATCGTAGAACGTTATTTGGCT